GTATCTACACACATAGACAGTGAGGTCTATGTGGCCTCTTGGCCAATCGGAGGCCAGGATGATGCTCGTTAAGCCAATGGCAGAGCAGCTATGAGTATGTTGAGTCCAGGAAACTTGCAGCTGTGACCGAAATAAACATCGTTCACTATGTAAACCAGTGTGGTGGTTGCTGTTGCCTTTTTTCGAACGAAGCAATAGAGGTCGCTGTTGGATAAGACTTCGTTGTAGTGAATGTCTTCGCGAGGCTGGAGCAGACAAAATGATTTCGTATAACGCAACAGGGGGTTTTTCGTCGTATGGGGGGCAGGAGAATGGGAATTGTGTTAATGCATGAAGATTTTTTCACATAAGGGGGTATTTTCGCCCATGCAGGTTTCGTTCTAGAGGAGTTTCACTGTAGTAAGTGATTTGGCATGGAAGGACCAACGACCTCCTAGATGGCGCCAATTGGATTGTAAATCTAGTTTGGACCAATTTGGAGACCCAAGCACTCGAGTTTTATACTGAATTAAAAAAAAAAAAAAAGATGCAATCCTAATGAACTCTTCTGTTTCTTTCATAGGCTGGTTTTATCAGAGGCAGTGATGCGCTCTCAATTCGGAGTTCAGTGAGCTTCAAAGAAATTTCTGCTGCCGCCCTTCGTGGTTACAGAGCTACACCGACCATTGATGCCAAGCTGCCAATTGACTTCTTCTTTCCATTTGTTTGATTGAGCAACTTCATCCAGACTGTCCTCAGAAAGTGTCCGAAAGTCCACATACCCAAATGGAAAATTGTAATTACATAGAGGGCAAAGAATCGATTGGATAAAACAATCAAGTATTATTCATGAAGATAGAAAACTGAAATCATAAGCTGAACAGATCAAACAATTCAGAAATTAATGCATGGATTTATGCGGAAAAAAAATACATGAAGTTGCATGATATGAACTCATTTAAATTCATTGTCGATCAGAAGTCGATGCCATGCATCTTGAGAAGTGTCTGAAGCTTCTGGTTATCTTGTTGCTAGGACAGATGATAAGAGAAAAAAAAAAGAGTTAATTTGATGTTTGAGACATCAGGTAAAAATCAACACGTGACTATAAATGTCTTAAGTTATGAGATTCACTGGATGAATCTTTGCTTTTTTTCCAAATTAGTTTTATCATTGCTAATAAGCACAGACTAGATTGTTAGGATGCTGCAGGCAACTAGTTGAAGGATTTAATGACAGTATTTGCCAGGAATCAGTGGAGATCCATTTCTGTGTGTGTGTGTGTGTGTGTACACACATATACCGTATTTTCCGCACGAAAAGACGCACTGGATAATGAGGCGCACCTTCAATGAATGGCTATTTTGTAAATTTTTTTCATACATTAGACACTTCACGTTATAAGGCGCAATCACGAATGCATCCCCTAGATGGTGCTACGCTCCTTCCATTCAACCTGAGAGGTGTCCGTTCAACTTGAGAGGCGTTCATGACCGCCTCTGGAAAACGTAAATTAACTATTACTGTACTTAAATGAAACTACGAAAATGGAAAACAAGGCATCAAAGCAGAAAATCAAGCGAGGAAATCACAAAATAAATTCTATATCCCCCCTACAGAATTTATTTTGTGATTTCCTCGCTTGATTTTCTTTGTGGTTTCATTGAAGTAATAATTAATTTACGTTTTTTGGAGGCGGCAATGAACGTCTCTCGAGTGGAACGGAAGAAGGCACGGAGACGGACAAAGACATACAGTACATGTATTTGTTGAAACTGTGAAAACCATTAATAATGTCTGCGTTTAAAAGAAAAAATAGAAACCACAGCTCTCCTTTTTTCAACAAATACAGTTGAATCTTTGTCCCTCTCCGTGCCTTCTCTTCCGTTCAACTCGAAAGGCGTTCATGACTGGCTCCGAAAAACGCATTGGCATTTCCTTGATCATAGCGCCAGGACTACTACGATCAGATGTCAGTAGTAGTTATTTATTCCTTTGTTGTGTATTCACAAATGATGAAATCACAAAATAAATTCTATACGGGTGGCTATAGACTTTATTTTGTGAAATCCTCGCTTGCTTTTCAGTTTTGATGTATTATTTTCAATTTTCGTAGTTTCATTGAAGTAATCATCAGTTTATGTTTTTCGGAGGCGGTCTTGAACGCCTCTAGTCGAACGGATGAAGGCACGGAGATGGACAAAGACGTACCTGTATTTGTTGAGACTGTTTTAAAAAATTAACACCACACCTCTCCTTTTTTCGGAGCTGTCACAAAAACTTATTTAATAAAGCAGCGACACAGTTCACTGAACCAACAGCAAGTTATAACATTGCAAGCATGTCTCCAGGAAGGAGCCATCTTGGAGTCGATGTATTACCGTAATGACCATACAAAAGACGCAACGGATTTTAAGGCGCTCGGTGAGCTTTTAAGAAAATTGAAGACTTTTTGGTGCGCCCTATAGTGCGGAAAATATGTGTGTGTGTGTGTGTGTGTGTGTGTGTGTGTGTGTGTGTGTGTGTGTGTGTGTGTGTGTGTGTGTGTGTGTGTGTGTGTGTGTGTGTGTGTATGATATATATCAGTGGCGATTGCTCTCAGACTGCAAGGGAAGCTCAGCTTCCCCTAAAATGTCAAAGAATAAGTGATCAAATATATGAATGTAAATTTCATAGTGTGTACATATCATTGACTAAATATGCGCGACAAGGTGCTCAACTTTTGTTCCGAATCAGCTTCTTCTTACTGGTTACGATGCGACTCCCTTCTTATTCATTCCTGCAGCTTCGCTGTGCTTTAAGCAGTGGACGCTGAGCGTCCGCAGAGCGTCAACTGCCCGGACGCCGAGCGTCTCGAGAGTTCAGGGTAGGTTGTCCCAATGCGTTGAACGGAGACGAGTCATTGGATACAAGCTGGTTTTTGTCC